CTTTAGCACAACCTCTGGTAGCAAAACAAAAGTTTGAAATATTATGAAATAACATGAGATATATGGAATTTTGTCACACTGTTATGAATGTGAGAATGTTTTCATAACCTTGATAGCCAAAGGACACAGTGTTAGAAGAGTTAATACTTCCTTTGGTCCATAGGAAGTTTAAATTTATCTTTCTTTAGCTGTTTTTTCAACATTGCATTCCATATTCCAGTGCACTCCCTGACCAGATAGAAGGTATAGATGTATTTGCTAAGTTTTGTATAGATCCTGTTAGTCACCTTGCCTTTCAAAGTATGTCTTCATTCATGCAGTTATTACTCTCCCTTTTTCTAGCCATTAACATCATAAGAACACATTACTGTAAATTATATCTCCTAACTGGCAGTATTTTATGGTATTTTAAAAAGTCTATGTATAATGCAAATTTTTATAATATAAATATTTTGACTTTTACTACAAAATTAGAGGAGTATGCCCTGTATGTAATAAGAGTAGGTCATGAAGCACAAATAAATCTATGCATTTGATTTTGTTTGCTTATTATATGAGACAGTTATTTATAATGTTAAGGAAATATCCATACATGTGATTTAGTGAAAAGAATCATGACAAAGATTCTAACCAAGAGATTAATTTCTTTGACATATAAAGTTAAAATATGCAGAGAAGAGACAACTTTTTTCTGCATCATATTATAATTATCCTATTTTCTTATTTGAAGGCTGGCAAAACAATGCAAACTCTAGGTACTTAAATAATGCATTCCATTTTCATGAAGCAATACTTTTAGAGTCATAATTTGAATTTGTTGAAGGCATTTAAAAGAATTCATATAATACTCTTGGAAAGGTGCAGTTGAGGAGTGTCTATGTGTAAACATATGGGATTAAACATTCATCAATATTTTCATGTTGCTAGACATGTGGCTATTTTAAGCATGTTGTTCAATTCCTCAAACCATCAACAATCAAATTATTTGTGCTTTAATTACAAATGTAATGGTCATTTTAAATAAACATAGTTTTAAAAATTGAATTTGTATTTTCCCCCGAAGTGTAATTAGTAATAAAGCTAATGGAACTTTAAGAAGAGTATGCAAAAAGAAATTAATAATGTTTCAATATACACAATTGCAAAAATATATCTAATCAAAATTCATGACATTTCTGGCAACTGTAATGTTGTAACAAGTTATTTTGAGAATGCTAGCTATTAATAGATTATTCTGATTTTTCATAGTAGTCAATCTGACTATCATACATGTTTCTTGACCACGTTCTATTCTGCAGCTACAGGCTTACCGTTAACTTGCAGATCATTACTTCATCACAAGGAAAACCTACCAAGGTTGTTTGGAGATAAGACTTATTTGCAAAGTGGCTGCTTAGCTGACACAGATCCAAGGATCAACCCATTAGATTTTTATGTAATGTTAATTGTCAATATACCCTATGTTGCCCTTCCTTTTTAGTCTCAGGATATTTTCATTTCTCAAATTATTTCTAGATGACAAAATATTTTGAAATGTTATTGTTTGTAGGGAGTAAAATCTTTTCTTGAGGTGTAATACACAATTAATTTATAATGATGTAGTCAATGATTGTTCTCAGTGTAAGAATATACTAACAATGCAGATTTTGTGAAATGTCCTAAAAACTTTTTAAATTATAAAATAAATTATATTATGATTTTCCTTAATTAGGGGGAGTATTGATAGGTAGTAATCCGAGGAATAGATTAATTTGTAGACAATTATTGTACAAATTCTTTTTTTTTAAACTTTTTTTAATGTATATTTTTGTGAGAGAGAGAGAGAGAGAGAGAGAGAGAGAGAGAGAGACAAAGCATGAGTGGACGAGGGGCAGAGAGAGAGGGAGACACAGAATCCAAAGCAGGCTCCAGGCTCTAAGCTGTCAGCACAGAGCCCAACACGGGGCTTGAGCCCATGAACAGTGAGATCATGACCTGAGCTGAAGTCGGACGCCTAACCAACTGAGCCACCCAGGCACCCCTATTGTACAAATTCTTATATAAACATGAGTATGTTTCTAAGTAGTACATAATTATTGAAATACATTGATATATTTTCTAAATTTGACAAAGATGGTATTTCATAATAGGGTAGGATTCATTAAAAATGGAAGAATGTGAAAAAAAAACCATTTTTCATTTTATAGGGAAGAGTAAGTGGTGTTAATTTTGGATTAACTTAGGAAATCTAAAGATAGTTCAAGTTTAAAAGACAGCTTAACCATTATATTATTCTGAATTTGTGTCTTAATTTGAGATGAAATAATAATGCTAAAAAGTGTTGTCAGAGGACATAATCAGAGACACATAGTATTCATAAGCAATAATTACAAGTCATAATTTGAAAATACACAATAACAAACTAAAAGTGATTATGAAGAATTCAATTTTTTAAATATTTATTTATTTTGATAGAGAGTGCACATGTGTGGGGGAGAGGCAGAGTGAGAGAGGGAGAGAGAGAACTCCAAGGAGGCTCCACACTCAGCACAGACCCCAGCATGGAACTGTATGTCACCACCATGAGATCATGACCTGAGCCAAATTCAAAAGTCAGACACTTAACTGACTGAGTCACCCAGGTGCCGCTCAATTTCTTTTAAAATAAAAAACTTTGTCAAATGATTAGAGGCATGCCACAATTAAGAAAATTTAAACAATGTTTTGTTAATAAAAGGAAAAAACTAAGTACAGGATACCTTGGTTATTTTATAGAAATAAATTACAAGTTTTAGTTTTATTTTGTATATCTTCCTTGTTATACTTTGAAATGAACAATTTATAATATTTTATAATATTTTTAAACCCAAATCTTATATTTATTAAAATATTGAACATTATTTTTACATGGTGATAAAATTAAAAAAGAAGGCATAGAGATTTTTAAACTAAAACTAATCCACTATAATTAGTTAAGAGTCATTTGCATATTGGAAATAGTCTATGAACTCTTTTTTAATGCAAATGACACTTTGTACTCATATGTTAAAATTTGTAAATATTTCCATCTATGTCATGAATCCATTTATCTAAAACCTAAGCCTCAAATTTCCAATTAAACTTTTTGATTATGAGTTATAGTTTTCCAAGTTAAACTTTTTGATTATGAGTTATAGTTTTCCAAGACACAAAAACAGAAATGAAGCACTATCTTTTGAATGTGCTTCTTTTTTTCCCCTTTTATTTGGTATTTGGTATTTATTTGGTATCTTATCTGGATAAGATATTCCTAGAGTGTGCTCCTAATAAAAGAAAGTTTCTTATGGTCAACTAACCCCATGTTTCTCCAAAACAGTGAAAAAGGGAGAGAAGAATTTATGGGAGCCAACTTCAGCAATATATACATTTATCACTGGAAAAGCTAATTGTTTTCCTTTTAAAGAAAGGAAAAGGCTTAGATGTAGAAAAATATTCTTTGATACAGAGGTGACCAAAAGCTATATCAAAATACTTTTTTTCCATTTACTTTATAAAGACCATTAGGGTCTTGTTAGAAAAAGATATTCTCTTTGCCGGTCAAAAAAAACTTTTTTTTTTAATTACTGAAAGAGAAAAACAGTAGTCCTTTTAAAAGATCCATTAGAGATATTCTATCCTATTCCATACCATTAAATTTATTTTTTTGTTTTTCTTGTTTAGTATTTAAAATGAAGGTGGATAGGAAGTCAACACTAAGATTTCAGTGTACCAAAAGTGCAATGTAGCCAAGAATTTAATTGAACATCTTCTTTCAATATTCCAAAGCATCAGGAAACTAATATATTACATTCCTTATTCACCCCCAGAACGTTTATGTTATCTTTCCTACATGCCATATAAGTTATCTTATTTGTTTTATATTCTTCCTGTCATCTCCAACAATTTATGTGTCATGTGATGGCTAAATAAATTTACTTAATTAAGGTTAAAATTATAGTGTTAAAATTAATTAATTATATGCTGCCATCATATACTAACTTATTCACTCAGTACATATTTGAGTACAGATATTGTCAAGTTTCTTACTGATGGGTAAGAAAAGGTCAGTGAGTCAATATTAAATTTTCAACTTATTAATTTTTCTAAATATGTGTTACAGATTTAACTGTCATTTGAAATGAAATATTGATTCATTAGGAAAGAGAAAGTGATACTGAAATAGTAAAAGAAAGAAAAAAGAAAAAGAAAAAGAAAAAGAAAGAAAGAAAGAAAGAAAGAAAGTTCAAAGAAAGGAAGAAAGAAAAAGAAAGAGAAGATAAAGAACAACAGAGGAAGAAGAAAATAAGAGAGACAATGGATGTGTTCAAAGAAATGTACACAGAAGCATTTGGGGGAATGAAACTCTGGTGTAGCAAAAGAAAAACATAATATAGCTTCAAACAGCTGGTCTTACTCTATCCCTCCTTCAGGTGCTAGATTTTTGGTATAAAAGTTCTTAGTTTCACTGTTGGAAACTTTGCCTACTATACGACTTTCCAACTGCTTGCAAACTTAAAGACATAAAGAGAATTGTTTTCATTTTTATTGATTCTTTGTATACGAAAGGATTTTAAACTATACCTGAGATATCTTAAAATAAATATATATTTATGAAGATTGTTAATGCAATTTGTTGAAGGTTATTTTTTAATTTCTTTTCCCACACAGCCTTATGGCCAACAGAGGCAACTATATTCAATTTATAATCAGGTTTCATAAGAGGAAAGGGAATGGAAAAAGTGATTTCTAGAAGTTTCTTTACAACCCATGTAATTAAATGACAATAAATAGTATTGAATAGAAAATAAAATCCATTCTGTTTCTCGTGGAAGCCTTCCATTTTACTCATATTTTCTGTCAATGTAATTAATTCCTATTACATTTTGCATTTTTCTCCGTATAGGGGTAAAATCATAGGCATTAGGCTTCTAATTTTAACTACTGATGTCATATACTCATTCCTATAAAAAATATTATTAACAGTAATTGTGTATTATTCACAGATATTGGCTGACTTAGAAAACCATGCATTATTTAAGAATGATCTGGAATGTCAAAAACTGATTCTGGAAGCAATGAAATATCATCTATTGCCAGAAAGAAGAACTTTAATGCAAAGTCCAAGAACTAAACCTAGAAAATCTACAGTTGGAACTCTGTATGCTGTAGGAGGAATGGATAACAACAAAGGTATACAATTCTTTGTTTCTTGGGGGGTTGTTTGTTTTGTTTGTTTTGTTTTTACATTTCTTGATCTATATATATAATACAACCTGTATCAGACCATGTCACAATTTTAATATTGCAATCTGTATAATACCAATAAACCTCACATGCTTTACACATTAAGATTTAATATTAAGGGGAAAATTAAAAGAACATCTCTTATTTTCAGCTGTAGTTGCTGCTTTTGCTTTTTATTCATCTTTAAATCCTTTATCTCTTGTGCATTATGTGCCAGGCTTCATATGAAATGAAAAGGGGACTTAAAACACTTACTTACAAACACAGGTCAAATAATTGATTGGATATATTGACAACTATATTTCAATTCTAAGTAAAAGAAATATAACATTCCAGGTACATGCTTGCTAAAAGCAATATTATGAAGAAGAGAGTTTCTGTTTTTGATGCATTTGGAATCTTACACAGAAACCTGGCAAATAAATAGACAACTATAAACAAATGTAATGTCTGTGACAGTTATATTTTATAAATTTAACTGTGATTACCAATTTTGCTGTTCAAAGGGAATTGAATGATTCATTTAAAAGTTGAACACATACATTTGAAGGTCTCATTCTTTTCTGTAATTAGTGGAAAAAGATCAATGAATATTTGTCTTCTTCAGCTTATCTTATGTTGTGAGTTCACAAGGCAAATAACGTAACTGTCATATGTTTGTATTTGGTAAGTGATATAATTATCCACCATACCTTTAATATACACGTAAAAGTTGGCAACGACAGAGTGTGGTCACATGTTCAATCTCTATTAAATATATTTGTTATTAAAGAATTAGAGGGAAGCAACAAAACTTATTTCCACCATTGTGAATTGAGATCCCAAAACAGCAGCTAAAGGGAAATAATTTAGGGAAGACACATATTCCCATATTTTGTCTGTCATGAAGATATCTTGTGGCTGGCTGTTAGATGGTGTTCACTTGTTTATTTTTTGACAAGTTTAATTTCTGTTTACTGGGACATTGATTTTTCATAGCCATCACATTAAATGAGCACTAGGTAATTTATATTTATATATGCATATATATGAGTGCACATATATGTATGTGTGATGGTTTTATGAGTTTCAAATTTTAAAGTCAAATGAGTGATTATTTTTTTAAAGAACACTGTGTTAGAGGTGTCTGGGTGGCTCAGTCAGGTGAGCATCTGACTCTTGATTTTGGCTCAGGTAATGATCCCAGGGTCTTGAGAGCCTGCCCCCAGTTGGGCTCTGCACTGGACATTGAGCCCACTTAAGATTCTCTCTCCTTCTCCCTCTGCTCCTTCCCTGCTCTCTCTCTCTCTCTCTCTCTGTAAAATAAATAAATAAATAAATAAATAAATAAATAAATAATAAAGAACACTGTATTCTACAGAAAGAGTGCCCATACAAGAACCATTCCACTTGAAAATATGCACACGATATTTTTTTTTTCTAAAGAAGAAGAATACAAAGAAGAGGAGGAGCAGGGGAAGGAGTTGGGGAAGAGGAAGAGGAGGAGGAAGAGGAGGGAGAGGCAGAGGAGGAATATTTATTGAATCTGTTCTGTTTCTGATGAAGGCTGAATAATAAACATAAATTAAAATAGATACAAAAATTACTATACTATCAGGGCACCTGGGTGGCTCAGTTGGTTAAGTGTTCAGCTCTTGGTTTCAGCTCAGGTCATGATCTTACAGTTTCATGAGTTCAAGCCCTGGGTCAGGCTCTGTGCCAGCAGTGCTGAGCCTGCTTGGGATTCCATTTCCCTCTCACTCTGCCCCTCCCCAACTCACACTGTCTCCATCTCTTTCAAAATAAATAAATTAATTAAAAAAAAAAAAGAATGTTTAAAAAAATTACTGTACTATTAAAGAACGAAAGGGCATCACTGAATTTGAATTTTTAAATCTGGTGATTTCACGTTGTTATAGCATAGAAGAATATGAGACTATGGAGTCTACTGAGTTAAACTGTTGCCAGCATTTGAATTTCTCTCAGCAGTCTTTGAGATTGAAGAAATTCTTTAAAAATTGATCTTTCTTAATGATTCTGAGTTTTCTTTCACTTTAGAATTGAAAATACCAACAATTTACTTGTTGTTACACATATTCAGTAAGATACAGGTGTAAGAGAATGTGATAATACAGGAGGTTTCAAAAGATATTCCAGATTAAATCAGCAATACAACAGAAAAAAATTATTTGAGGGAACCTTTAAGAATTTTTACCATATCCTTAGCCCTATAGGAATCAGATATTAATATCCCATAAACTTAGATACAAATCTAAAACTTAATACCAAACCTCAGAGACCCTTTTTTCCTAGTGAAGCAGAAACATATAAAAGCCCAATGTTTCAAGGGATTTAAAGGGCAAATAGAACATTTTCAAGGTAATCCCTCCTATTTGCATCATGCTTTTACTGCTTTAACAGTGATTTCTACACCTTATTAACTTGTATAATGTTTAAATAAGCATTAAGATTTTATCTTAAAATTGTGTTTTCTTGGAAGATAATAAAAATGGAATAAAATGCAAAAAACATCAAAAGAAAAAAAAAACTACAGCAAAAAAAATTGGAATTTACTTGGCAAGATTATTTTCAAAAGTAACACAATACATAACACTCAGTGTGGCATTTTTGAAATTAGTTACACATTTATATTGTGCTATATATAGGGCTATATAAACATTTTGTTGGATTCCTCTTCAGCTCCATAATTCCTGAGATTAAGATGACATCACATGCGATAAATAAACTATGGGTACAATGCTTGCAGATTCTCCATAGATATGAAAATTGAGAGCATGGTTTTCTCTGTTCCTTCTTCTTATAATCATATGTGTACACATTCAGTGCTGATGCACAGGTTTTGTACATCTATTTTGTGCCAGGCTCTGCATTAAGAACTTGTGTACCACGGTGAACATTATGAATATAACTCCTACTTCACAGAGCTACCAAGTTAATCTGGGGAAACAAATAGTAAACAAACACCCAAATGAAACAAATGTTATAAAAAGGCAATTGCAGGTGGAAGGAGCATAATGGCTGAAGAGCAAACCTGGTCTAGTCTAGAAAAGTAAGGAAGTACACAGAACATGTCTGCTCTTTTGTTGTGGTTGTTGTCGTTTTCCCAGCAAAAATCTAAAGAACTATTAGGCATTAGTTTAGCACATTGTTGGAATGAGAGGTTGGTCTTGGTGGGGAGTTCCAGACTGTAGGTACATCAAAGGTGAATGTTTAGTGTTGAAGAAAAGTGACATCTTCCAAAAAATGGAGTGAAATCCCTTATGGCTGAATTATAGTCAGTAGGGAAATGAAAGCATGGTAGTGAAGGAGAGACACAGTAGGCTTCAGTGAGGCACTTTACAGGATCAATTCTGATTTGTAGCTACAGAGGTCTTGAAAGGCTGCTTAAGCAGCCTTTGAAATCAGGGGGTGCCTATTCAAATGTCACTTAAAAGAGTGTCACTTAAAATCTCTAGTATACTTTACTCTTTCTCAGTATTATATCCATTTCTGTAAAAATCATATGCATTAAATGAGATGAAGTATTATGTAAAGAGGTTAAAGTATAAAACACAAGGCATTCCAACATGTTTCATACCAAAGGGACTTCCAAGGGACTCAGCAGAAACCTGGTCTGACCTTCCTAATCATGTGGAATAAGGCCAAGGCATGTAGGAACTTTGGAGACATGAGACTATCAAGGTGCTGTGAAATAACGGTGATACGGCACAGGGAAGGGAAGAAGACAAAAAGATATTCATATAAATGACATTTATATTTATATCATGATATATATATGGTAAGTACCTTTTATGCTAATATGAACATTCAAAAATGTTCATTTTTGATGTTCAAATGAACATCAAAAATGATGAATCAAATGAGAAAAAAGACTCAAGCCATAAATAGAAGTTTGCAGTGTTTTAGAAAGCATGATTTAATTCACTTTTATAACAGAAAAATACTGAAAAATAAATATTTAAGAACATAACAATATATAGCATATTTTAAATCCAATTAAAACATTATTATATGTATTCATATTTGTTCTACTATGAATTGAGAAATGAGGGGACATAAAATTAAATATAATTTTTAAAAAGGCAATAATCATAAGCTGTTTTTATAAGGAGACTGATTTTCTTTAAATGATGTCAACTGAAATCAAATACAGATTTAAATCAGTGCAGTGAGTTGTATTAATCAATTGGGTGTTTTGCTAAGAAATTTATTAAAAATCACACAGTAATCATCATAAATTTTTTAAAAAGGTTGATTTAAAGATAAAACACCAATTGTTTACTTTCAAGTGCTTGCATTGACTTATGTATGAGTCATGTAAACTATGAAATAAAATTTGGTGATAGTGTTTAAGGGAAAATATTGGCATGAAAATATCTTTATTGGGTATATATTTTGATATTAACTGATTATTAGACAATTCCTTAGAAATAGTAATAGTTTGGTTTTGTACCTAACAGAAAATAGTATTTTTTTTTTTTTTTGGAGATAACTTTTTTCAATCTAGTAAACCACATATTGAAAATCTGATAAAACTACAACAGTATAGATAAGAAAAATCAAGTATGAGCTTATAACTTAAGCACAATCCCTGTTAACAGCACGGTATATTTCTTTTCTCCAATTTCTACGTGTGTGTGTATGAGTGTGTACAGCCATAACTATATATCTACATTTATATAGAGATATACCTACTTACATTTGTCTTCATCTCGGTCTCTGTGCTTATCTAGATAAGGTTCTAAATATATGTTGGTTTATTAGCCTACTTGAAATTATTATTTGTGTTGCTTTTATTCATTATTTATATTACATGTGTTAATTTATATTTCATTAAAATTTTAAAATACATCATATCAAGAAGCTTACTAATTCTTACTCATATGGAAACACCACAGCTTCTTTGAGCTTAGTTCTATTATTAAACACTTGGCAGGATCCAATTC